CAAGTGACCAATAGCAAGTGAAACACTCTTCAATCATGCCAAGATCCAGTCACTGACCCAAATACTGGGTGAAGCTCTGTTCAATTATAGCAATATCCAGTCACTGACCCAAATACTGGGTGAAACTGTTCAATTATAGCAATATCCAGTCACTGACCCAAATACTGGGTGAAACTGTTCAATTATACCAAGATCCAGTCACTGACCCAAATACTGGATGAAACTGTTCAATTATACCAAGATCCAGTCACTGACCCAAATACTGGGTGAAACTGTTCAATTATACCAAGATCCAGTCACTGACCCAAATACTGGGTGAAACTGTTCAATTATACCAAGATCCAGCCACTGACCCAAATTCTAGGTTAAATACTCATTCACTCACATGGTATGTGTCTTCATAACTCAGCATCATTATCCTGCATTCGTAATGCGAACCATTCAAAATACATCTGTATGGCAAAACGATCAGTAGATGTATCAGAGGTAACGAGCATGCAAAAAATATAATATTAGAAAAAATAACCCGTGTAATACTTATTGCTAATGCTAATGCTAATAATACCACACTTGTGAAACATTTAGATTGAATGAACTAACCTGCAACACGTACCGTGATTCAGGTGAAATGTATAGTACCAGCCACAGTCTACTCCAGACTGCAGAGAGACGTTATCATGCTCCAAATTTAGCTGCAAGCTGTTGGTTTAGTCACGTGATGGCCAACCTGTTGAAACGTTTGTTTATGGTTGTAGGTTCTGGAGGTTCACGCCCATCATGACTACTCCCAATTTGACTACTCCGTCAAATTGAGATATTGTTTTAAATACGACATCAGAATCTATGTCCCTGGTGTTTCCTTTACAGAATAAAGTCTTGTATATCCATAAAAATAGTCCTCACCAAACTTCAGCACATGACTTCTGGAGAATGCCTTCAATCAAACTGAAGATATGGCTGTCTGCGTGTCAATGGTTTTTAATTACTAGCTCCCTCCCTTCCATCAGGTAGACTGTCCCACCATGATAATACATATACAAAAACAATTATAGCTGTACCAGGTTCATCCAATATTTATTCAGCTAATTACATAATAGATATGGCTGACTGCATGTCGTTGTACCTCCAGCAACCTGTCATAACTACACTGTTAGATATGGCTGACTGTGTTTCATTGTACCTCCAGCAACCTGTCATAACTACACTGTTAGATATGGCTGAATGTGTTTCATTGTACCACCAGCAACCTGCCATAGTCACACTGTTAGATATGGCTGTCTGCGTGTCATTGTACCACCAGCAACCTGCCATAGTCACACTGTTAGATATGACTGTCTGCGTGTCATTGTACCACCAGCAACCTGCCATAGTCACACTGGTAGATATGACTGACTGCGTGTCATTGTACCACCAGCAACCTGCCATAGTCACACTGGTAGATGTGACTGATTGCGTGTCATTGTACCTCCAGCAACCTGCCATAGTCACACTGTTAGATATGGCTGACTGCATGTCATTGTACCACCAGCAACCTGCCATAGTCACACTGTTAGATATGGCTGACTGCGTGTCATTGTACCACCAGCAACCTGCCATAGTCACTACTACCACCAGCAACCTGCCATAGTCACACTGTTAGATATGGCTGACTGCATGTCATTGTACCACCAGCAACCTGCCATAGTCACACTGTTAGATATGACTGACTCCATGTCATTTGTACCACCAGCAACCTGCCATAGTCATACTGTTAGATATGACTGACTGCGTGTCATTGTACCACCAGCAACCTGCCATAGTCACACTGGTAGATATGGCTGACTGCATGTCATTGTACCACCAGCAACCTGCCATAGTCACACTGGTAGATATGACTGACTGCGTGTCATTGTACCACCAGCAACCTGCCATAGTCACACTGTTAGATATGACTGACTGCGTGTCATTGTACCACCAGCAACCTGCCATAGTCACACTGTTAGATATGACTGACTGCGTGTCATTGTACCACCAGCAACCTGCCATAGTCACACTGGTAGATATGACTGACTGCGTGTCATTGTACCACCAGCAACCTGCCATAGTCACACTGTTAGATATGGCTGACTGCATGTCATTGTATCACCAGCAACCTGCCATAGTTAGAATGGTAAATATGGCAGACTGCGTGTTATTGCCAGTGCAGCACATGTATTAACAATTCAGTATAGATGAATATATGTTGTAGTGAGTTTGTTGGAGAATCTACGTGAACACAAAAGAGTTATCGTGCCACGACATGCCACTATAAGGCCATGATCACAGACCGCAGACATCTGGTTCATCTTGTATTCTTAATATGTTCCTAATAAAACATGAAATGAATTTATGCACAATACGTGTGGCAGTAATTGGCCGATACATTATCATGAATAATACGATTCATGATAAAATGGCTATACTAAGGTAGATGTAGAGTTTTATGCTGCAATAAAACAAACGTGGAACGAGTTATGTCTCTATTTTGGACAGCTGTGTAAATTCTCCCACAAGCTCACACAACATTACAAAAGACTAACGTATATTTATTCTATACTATGAGGGTTTCCTTAGACTGGTTCTTGGCATGTGTTGCGTTGATTCACATTTATGCCGGTATCAAGTGCATGTTTTGCCGAGAGCAAAATTAGGAGATCCGTTTTTAAATGACATGTTGTGATATGTCTTTACGCACAGAAAATATAACAATTTAAGATATTGATATCCACCTTTATGTGACAGAAACGGCTGAGGAGAGAAGAATTAACACCATGACTGGAATCACGCCTGCTTTAGTAGACCCTGAAAACAAATGTTAAAATTACATTTCATACATTACGTCGACCTTTCCTTTTTATAATATTGTGAGGTTGCTGTAATCAACATTATATGTAACATCCGGTTATAAAAGTTTATCACAAGCCAAGTCAAAACATTGATTGCACAACAGTCTCGTTTCCTGTTGACTGGGTTCCGTCCTATTGCGCAACATAGTATAATAACCAGTCCAGAATTTTAAGACCAATTCATTTAACTTAATACTACATAAATATTAATCAGTATTATTTCTGACAAAGAGAAATCTGGTTATGGTGGAAATCTCAAAACAAGGCTCTGTCGCTAGAAAAGTTCGGCGGTCTGGTACGGAATTGATATTATATCAATCACATTGTGCGTTACAGAACTACACTGAATAAGCGCAAAACATACATAACAGGTGCAACCAGCGAGCCAGATGCATTGTGAATCATTTTACGACCTCATCAAACAATGGCAGTCTGTGACGTCTTAAGGCCTGTTTATAAGGCGAAAATATACACATGTGCAAATTTGCATACATGAGCAAATCTACATAGGGTGTGCAATTTGCTAGGGTGTGCAAATTGCTGTGCGTTCATACGGACTTTAAGTTCTGTAAGCAAAGTGGTAGTAAATCTTGATGATAGATTATTCTGCCCTAGAATTGGATGGAGTAAGATGTGGGATATCAAGAAGGTATTAGTATTTCCCGGTGATACTTCAATAGTCAGACACCCCACAAGTTAGACAGTAGAGTTGGGGTGGACTCTTGCACAATACGACCAGCAAACTCCCATAGGTCAGCCTTGACTGTTAAAGTGTAATCCGTTTAATTGATATACTCACATAATATTAAAAGTCTTCTGGTGCATAGTTGTTACTGTGTTAATTATTATTGACTGAATAATAAACGTGTCATTGTACCACCAGCAACCTGCTCAAGTCAGGATGGTCAATATGACTGACTACGTGCCATTGTCCACCAGCAACTTCGCATAGTCACACTGGTAGATATGACTGACTGCGTGTCATTGTACCACCAGCAACCCACTGCCATATCTGCGTGAGTCATTGCACCACCAGCAACCTGCACTCGATATGGCCACTGTTGCGATATGGCTGTCATTGTACCTCCAGCAACCTGCCATATAGTCACACTGGTAGATATGGCTGACTGCGTGTCATTGTACCACCAGCAACCTGCCATAGTCACACTGGTAGATATGACTGACTGCATGTCATTGTACCACCAGCAACCTGCCATAGTCACACTGGTAGATATGGCTGACTGCGTGTCATTGTACCACCAGCAACCTGCCATAGTCACACTGGTAGATATGGCTGACTGCATGTCATTGTACCACCAGCAACCTGCCATAGTCACACTGGTAGATATGACTGACTGCATGTCATTGTACCACCAGCAACCTGCCATAGTCACACTGTTAGATATGACTGAATGCATGTCATTGTACCACCAGCAACCTGCCATAGTCACACTGGTAGATATGACTGACTGCGTGTCATTGTACCACCAGCAACCTGCCATAGTCACACTGGTAGATATGGCTGAATGCATGTCATTGTATCACCAGCAACCTGCCATAGTTAGAATGGTAAATATGGCAGATTGCGTGTTATTGCCAGTGCAGCACATGTATTAACAATTCAGTATAGATGAATATATGTTGGAGAATCTACGTGAACACAAAAGAGTTATCGTGCCACGACATGCCACTATAAGGCCATGATCACAGACCGCAGACATCTGGTTCATCTTGTATTCTTAATATGTTCCTAATAAAACATGAAATGAATTTATGCACAATACGTGTGGCAGTAATTACCGATACATTATCATGAATAATACGATTCATGATAAATGGCTATACTAAGGTAGATGTAGAGTTTTATGCTGCAATAAAACAAACGTGGAACGAGTTATGTCTCTATTTTGGACAGCTGTGTAAATTCTCCCACAAGCTCACACAACATTACAAAAGACTAACGTATATTTATTCTATACTATGAGGGTTTCCTTGGACTGGTTCTTGGCATGTGTTGCGTTGATTCACATTTATGCCGGTATCAAGTGCATGTTTTGCCGAGAGCAAAATTAGGAGATCCGTTTTTAAATGACATGTTGTGATATGTCTTTACGCACAGAAAATATAACAATTTAAGATATTGATATCCACCTTTATGTGACAGAAACGGCTGAGGAGATAAGAATTAACACCATGACTGGAATCACGCCTGCTTTAGTAGACCCTGAAAACAAATGTTAAAATTACATTTCATACATTACGTCGACCTTTCCTTTTTATAATATTGTGAGGTTGCTGTAATCAACATTATATGTAACATCCGGTTATAAAAGTTTATCACAAGCCAAGTCAAAACATTGATTGCACAACAGTCTCGTTTCCTGTTGACTGGGTTCCGTCCTATTGCGCAACATAGTATAATAACCAGTCCAGAATTTTAAGACCAATTCATTTAACTTAATACTACATAAATATTAATCAGTATTATTTCTGACAAAGAGAAATCTGGTTATGGTGGAAATCTCAAAACAAGGCTCTGTCGCTAGAAAAGTTCGGCGGTCTGGTACGGAATTGATATTATATCAATCACATTGTGCGTTACAGAACTACACTGAATAAGCGCAAAACATACATAACAGGTGCAACCAGCGAGCCAGATGCATTGTGAATCATTTTACGACCTCATCAAACAATGGCAGTCTGTGACGTCTTAAGGCCTGTTTATAAGGCGAAAATATACACATGTGCAAATTTGCATACATGAGCAAATCTACATAGGGTGTGCAATTTGCTAGGGTGTGCAAATTGCTGTGCGTTCATACGGACTTTAAGTTCTGTAAGCAAAGTGGTAGTAAATCTTGATGATAGATTATTCTGCCCTAGAATTGGATGGAGTAAGATGTGGGATATCAAGAAGGTATTAGTATTTCCCGGTGATACTTCAATAGTCAGACACCCCACAAGTTAGACAGTAGAGTTGGGGTGGACTCTTGCACAATACGATCAAACTCCCATAGGTCAGCCTTGACTGTTAAAGTGTAATCCCTTTTAATTGATATACTCACATAATATTAAAAGTCTTCTGGTGCATAGTTGTTAGTGTGGCTTAATTATTATTGTGAGTAAATAATAAACACACCAAAACTTGAGACAGAACTTCTCAACTCAGGATTCTCAAAATGTCTGTACTGCACAAATTAATGGCAGGTTTGCAGAAAGTAGAGTTCATCACATCGATTCAGGTGCTCTTTGATCGCCATCTATACAACAAGAACAAGACGAGGACGACTTGTGTGCACTGCAGATGCATTTTCATCTTGCTCAGTGAGTATGGCAAGGTGCAAGCCCTCGGACGCGTTCAAGGCCACTGCGACCACCCCGAAGTTGAGAAGTGGATTTGTCGTGCATCTACCTTGCTTCTGCTTCCTCTTGCAATCGTCCAGGAAGTCTGGATTGACGTAATGGACACCTGCCCTTCAACAACTACATGGTCTCTACGTTGGTGGATGATGACTCTCTGTTTAGGCTGTCCTTATGGAACCAGTATGAGACCTTCGGCCCGAGGACCAACAACTGCTTTGAGGGATTTAACAGCCGTCTGAATGCCAGCCTCTCGAGTCGTCACCCGAATGTCTTCAGACTGATGGAGATTCTCAAGAAGATTGAGAAGGCCGACAAGTTGAAGATCACCCAGATTGACTTCGGTGCAGTTCCTCCGCCACGTAAGAAGGTTTACAGGGAGATCAACCACCGACTTAGCCGAATGAGCGAGCAGCTGGAGCAAGGAAGCAAGACTCCAATGCAGTATGTGGATGATGTTGGAAAGCTCGTGATGCTTGGCTGAACTTGACTTTGAAGCTCCATACTATGCCTGTAGTGCTTGTGAATGTGACGATTTTACTTATATGCATGTGATATTATGACAGTGGTAAATATAATGAAAATTACAAAAGATGTTGAATGTGAGTAAATAATGTATAAAATATAATAAAAGTGGTCTAATCTGATCTCAATCTTCTCTTCATGTCTGACTAATGGGGTAAAAGCTGGAGTAGTCCATTTCCCCAATGGATAACAGCCTTCCAAAATGTGTTCACTCAAGCGTGTAATTAGGGTTTATCAAGTGTCTAACTAATGGGTTGTCTGACTAATGGGAGGACACCGGCATTTCCCATATTACATCAGTGTTGGTGTGATGCTTGGATATTCCCATGACCGAAATTCTAAAAGAAAGCAAAGATCAAGTCATTGGTATACTGAAGTTGTTGGTACTCATATTACTGACGCCGAATGGTTGGAAAAATTTAGAATGCGACGAGAAACAAATGAATTTATCTGCATTCGACTAAAAGATGAGCTCCCTCCCTCTGACCATACAGTTGAGGAACCACTGGATGTAAAGAAAAGGGTTGCTAAAAAAAATACTCACCCTAAGTAAATTTGCTATGCGTTCATACGACCACATTTGCTTAGGGTAGCAAAAAATACTCACCGGTAGTAAAACATTTGCACCTGGTCCAGGCCAGGAGTATTTTTGCTTGGGGAAGTAAAATTTGCATACGTGTAATTGCGTTTATACGACCAAATATACTCACGTAAGTAAATTTACACATATGCAAAAAATATACACATGTGCAAATGTCGCCGTATAAACAGGGCTTTAGTTAAGGTCATGCTGCCTACACCTCGCCTTAAAATATATAAATTCAATGTTATTAAAGTTATAATTAAAATTTTCTTATGAAACAAGGAATTGAAATTCAGCGTAACCATAGTTGTTTGTGATGTCTATTTTCACTGTCACAGGTTAATGAGACTCATGTTTCGGTTTGCTTGAATACCCCCCAACAGTCATCACAGCAAAAGGCTATAGGGCCTGTAAGTCTCGCGAGGCGCTATTTCCGGTACTAAGCTGATTCACGGCTCCCTTTGTGCGCGCCAACTTGCGATATGCGAGACGGGGCCCAGCATACTTCTGGTACCAGATTTCCGGTGACAAGCGTATATTCAAGAACCAGTTCTGGTTCGAAATTGCGCGACCGCCAAACATGACTTTACTAGACCGGAACAAGTGTACGTTGTTTGTGATCGGAAGTACTAAGGTGCCGTGACCTACTTTCGGGTTTATAAGGCATTTATCCTGCATTGTTGCCCATTACATGGTGTACGTTTGTGTAGCAACGCGTATAGGAACATTCCAACTATAACACTGCCTGGGTCACGAAATGACATACATTACCTTGGACGTTCCACCCACACCAAGTACCCGTGAAGATCCGGGTCAGAATTGATCTTAAGCAACCCATGCTTGTCGTAAGAGGCGACTAACAGGATCGGGTGGTCAGACTCGCTGACTTGGTTGACACATGCCATTGTATCCCAATTTCGTAGATCGATGCCATTGATGCTGATCACTTGACTGTCTGGTCCAGACTGGATTATTTACAGACCGCTGCCATATATAGAGCGGTGTCATATGACACACTTGCTCAAGTGTAATAATTTCTTTATTATCAATTTTATTAATGTACATGTGTGCAGTAAAACACGGTAAGCAAGTGTGGCGTCATTCTTCTTTGAATTCGCGTTCAATATTGTTCATGATATATATGACACTGGTTATGTTTCACCATATGGGTAATAAAGCTTGAATATTGCGACGTTAACCCCTTGATGCCGAGGGTATTTTTTATCTGACGCATATTTTCAGTTTTGAAAATGAACTTTGCGCGAGAATTTAGTTCGCGGGGCACTAGATCTACCTACGGCTCTAAAATTACACACGAATATAGATGTTAAATTTCCTACCCTATTGGCGTACGCTCAAGTGCAGTTACTTCGGCAGTAATAGACACTGTTAAGTGTTGTCCGAAATTTTGTTATGAGTTGAAAAGCATTAAACTTCCCCGCCTTTATCGATATCGATAAAAGCAATTTGCGACGATTTTTTAATTTTTTTAATTTGGCATCTGTACGGAAAGTTTGAGCGAACAAAATACTGCCCGATACCTGAACGACATACGTATATATGAAATGGGTTTGTTTGCTTATGTATAACGTTATACACTAAATCTACACGATGGCTTGCAATAAATGACGAAAATGTATTTTCCTCTATGACGTCAAACGACGACAGAGAGTTAACGCAGGTATAAAGAAAAGGTGGCATAACTTCACTATGGATAACAGTAGGTCATTGTAACTCAGTTCATTTGAAGAGAATTTGCTGTGCACACGCACACTATATTTTCGTGATGCGTTTTTCACGGTGAACCAAACTATTCCAATCCAAAGATCCACATTGCAACTGGATACATTTGGCTGTATAACAATTCATAAGAAATGATGACATTGTATTACATGAAAAAAGCATGTAACAGCGAATTAGATTGGTCTATCCAATATATAAATTAGTTCTTAGAATCCTACATTCTGTACTGTACTGTACATGTATTTTGACTAATTGTGCGCCATTAAACAGAGTACTACAGCTCGTTCAGCTTGACCTGATCAAGTGAATACTAATGAATTGCGTGACCGTGTCACAACTGGTTGGGTCTATTATTGTGAAGGGGTGCATTGATTGTCAACATGTCCGAACAGTCGAGACAAGGTCGCCGTTTGACACCTCAGTGTCGAGAAATCGTCAGCAATGTCCTAACTTTCTTTTAAAAAGAAGCTTTAGATGGTTTATTGTTTCCGATTCGAGCTTTTAGGCAGCGAGCACCAACATTAATAACATTCTTTACTCCCCTATTTAATGAAGTTAACTCGACCTGCCGTTTGTGCCATTTGACCTCCCGGGTCATGCATATGTAGAGTAGCTCAGGTCAAGCTGAACAAGCTGCAGTCATGTCGTACTTTTACATTTAACAAAATAAAGACTTATGAGTAGGTTGACTACTTTGAAACGTTGTTTAGAGGTGTTGGGCGGTGGGGTAGCCTAGTGGTTAAAGCGTTGGCTCGTCACGCCGAAGACCCGGGTTCGAATCCTCACATGGGTACAATGTGTGAAGCCCATTTCTGGTGCCCCCGCCGTGATGTTACTGGAATATTGCTAAAAGCGGGTAAAACCAAACTCAGTCAGCCAGTCAGTTTAGAGGTGTGTGCACGTCAAATGTTGAGGCAGAGTTTTATGAACAAGTTCTAACGTTTATAGATTCTATCGATGTTAATCTCATTACCCCTACCGTAGACCAAGAATACCTTGACAGGGAAATGTCC